TGAAGTCAAACAACAACAAGTGCTGGCGAGGATGTGGGGAAAAGGGTACCCTTGTACATTGCTGGTGGGACTGCAGATTGGTACAGCCAATTTGGAAAGCAGTATGGAGATTTCTTGGAAAGCTGGGAATGGAGCCACCATTTGACCCAGCTATTCCCCTTCTTGGTCTATTTCCTAAAGACCTAAAAAGAGCATGCTACAGGGACACTGTTACATCGATGTTCATAGCAGCACAGTTCACAATAGCAAGACTGTGGAACCCACCTAGATGCCCTTCAATAGACGAATGGATAAAAAAAATGTGGCATTTATACACAATGGAGTATTACTCTGCATTAAAAAATGACAAAATCATAGAATTTACAGGGAAATGGATGGCATTAGAGCAGATTATGCTAAGTGAAGCTAGCCAATCCCTAAAAAACAAATGCCAAATGTCTTCTTTGATATAAGGAGAGTAACTAAGATCAGAGTAGGGACGAAGAGCAGGAGAAGATTAACATTTAACAGGGATGAGAGGTGGGAGGGAAAGGGAGAGAGAAGGGAAATTGCATGGTAATGGAAGGAGACCCTCATGGTTATACAGTGGAGCGGGTAGAGAGAGAGGAGGGGAGGGGAGGGGAGAGGTGGGGAGGGGGGAGGGTGGAGGATGGGAAAGGCAGCGGAGCACAACAGACACTAGTATGGCAATATGTAAATCAATGGATGTGTAACTGATGTGATTCTGCAATCTGTGTATGGGGTGAAGGTGGGAGTTCATAACCCACTTGAATCAAAGTGTGGAATATGATATGTCAAGAAATTTGTAATGTTTTGAACAACCCACAATAAAAAATTAAAAATAAAATAAATAAATAAATAAATAAATAAATAAATCATCAAAATTGAAGTCAGGTTTAAGCTATAATATCATCCCTAACTAGAAGGCTGGGGTATGTGGGGGTGAGTTTCTTTCTTTTAAAAATAGCCAACCTTTCTGGCTATCCAAATCCGCTCCCTCCAGGGGCTCTACACTGAGACGGGCCTTCCGCAGCCAGGCGTGGTTAACTCGGGGGGAGCATGGCGGGCCTTTTCGTTACCCCCCAGTTTGCACCCTTCCCATTAAGGAAACTGCATTTGGGGCGAGGATGGGCCAAGCACTCAGGAGGTGCTGGGTCTGAGACCGGGTCTGGGCACCTCCGCATCTCAGTCCTCGGCTGGGCCAGCGCCGGGCAGGACGTCCTCCGGGCATCGCTGCAGGGAGTCGGGTCTGGCTCTGGACCTGGCCCGGTTCTCTTCCGAGCCGGAAGAGGCAGAGCACAGAGAGCAGCCTGCGTGGCCCCGGCGGCCCAGCGGCGGGGAGGGGAGGCCCGGAGCGCGGCCCCCCAGCACCGTGGGATTCTCCAAGCAGCCCATCAAGGCGCGCTGCTGCTGCGCGGGCCAATCAGGGAGGGCGCGCTCCGCCCCAGCGAAGGCCAGGCCGGTCCACCCGGCTGGCCCCGGGTCCCTAGATGCTGGCCAACGCTGGCCTGGAGTTGGCCCTGACACCGTTCCCAGGGGACTTGAAGTGAAGCGCACCGTCCTCCAGTGGGGGCCATCCTCCTCCCAGCGGAAGGTCCACTCTCCTGGAGAGAACCCTGCCTCCGGCCGCCTCCCTCTGGCCCCAAGCTGAAGGCTCACCTGCGGCCTGGACTGCAGCCCGCTGCCCCGCCCGCGGCTGCAGGGTGGGAGGTTGCAACCCCAGGCCCCGCGAGGCCGTTCTGCAGCAGGAGCTTCTCTCCCCACGGACACGTGGAGGGGACCTGTGCACCTCTACTCTCTGAGCTCCCTGACTACAGTTTCATCCGTGGCAGGGTTTCCCGCCACTCGTTTGTCCTTCTCAAGCCACCCTGGCCTAGTTCCCACTCACCAGCATGTCAGTGGACTTGCTTGGGACAGATTTCGTGAGTGCTGTCATCTCTTCCCTGGGTGATAAAAGGCGGGTTTTGCCACGTGGAAGGCTCAGGTCCAGCTGCAGCCTGGAGTGCGCTGCCCCAGGCCAGGCTTCTCCACAGAGCCGGGCTGTGGCCGCTCCCACACCTTCCAGGCCCAGCGTCGGAAGCCATGCCTCCCCAAGCCCGCACTCAGCCAGGGACGTCCCCGAGGCTGCCCTGCTCAGCTCTGCTGGCCTCCCCACGGGCTCAGTGACACTGTTGTCCAGGAGAGGTTGGGAAGCCCAGAGGGAAGACATGTGCTCTTTTAAAATGGCTTCAATATTACTACTTGGGAATTGTTCACGAAAACCATTAATACTTCAAGGAAGGTCTTTTCCACCAGGGAGGAGAGAATCCTTGCTGGGAGCCATTAGCCAAGTAGGTATGACAATTTCCTTGCCAGCGTACCCCATGTTGCAGTGACATTGAATGTAGGTGACCTTGCTCAAGGACCAAGGCGGATTAGGGCGTTCCCGGTTTAGGTTCCAGGTTTAAGGTTTAAGATTATTCCTGCTGGGAATAGGGCGTATCCTGCTGCCTGAGTTCCCCTTGAGTTCTCACGGGATTCAGACAGTATTCTTTGGGAGATAGAAGCCCAGTGGAGGTGGATTTGGGCAGAGAACGTGGATTTCCCCAGAACGTGTTTGTAGACGGCTGGTGTGAGTTCGGGAATAAAGAGTTGCTGTTTGAATCTACAAGCTGTGTGGTGGCTCGTGATTGTGTGCCCAGCCAGACTGTGGCAAATCCTGGGCACTTGGAGAGAGACTTGGTTCATGTGGTCCAGGGGGGTGTAGTTGAGTTCTTAATTACTCCACCCCAGGCATATTACCTCCATCTCACTCCAGAGTGGAAGAAAAGTTGCAAAGAAATTCTGAGCAAAGTCACTTGCAAAGACATATCCTTGCTCCCACAGATCCAATCACTAGTGCAAAACCCAAGGAACTTCAGAAGTTTAAATCAGACTGTGCACAATTAATGACCAGAAACTCCAATTTCATCTTAATTGGTTTTAATTAAATTTTTTTCCCTATGCTTATCTACAAGGGCTGATTGCCATTGTACCAGCAATGTAATCTCTGGATTTCCTGCATCATATGCTTTCCCTTTGATGGTGAACAATAAAACAAATCTCCAAACAGCACCTGAATGGTCCTTTGGGGAACAAGGAGGAAGTTAGTAATAAGGAAAGAAGAAGGGACAGAAGCATGCACTGTACAGATGATGCCCTGGAGGCAGCAGATTCATTTCAGATTACCAAGGCATTAGTTAAATTTCTCATCCTGACACATAAAGTGCTTACCCAGACTTCCCCAGGTGATCACTGTGGTATGATCAGAGCTCAGACATGAAGAGAGTAGAAGACTATGAATGCAACTGCCTCCATCTTCTATCAAATTCCAACTGTCCCCCTCTGAGAAAATAAGGAGAGGAGCCCTGTTTGGGTCTTCTGGGGGCCAGAGAGCCTCTTGGAAATGCTGAAGGATGAGGGGGCTGAGAAGCAGTTCTGTGGGACCACAGCACAAAGAGCGATTGGTCAGGAACCTCAGCTCTGCCCTGGTGACCATGCTCAGGAGCCCACAAGTAGACACAAGATGCTAATTCATCTGCTCAGACCACCAAATACACTCTCAGCGACTTCTATTTTATAAACTTCATTATTTTTGAAATTTTCACTCATGGCTCTTGGGAGAGAAGTCCATGAAAAGAATCCATTTTAAGTCTCTCCCATAATCGAGAATGTTAACAGCCAATTTTCTCAAATGCTGACACCACTCAGCCTGACTTCAGTGAGGGACAGCCCCATCTTTGCTTCTAATCAAAGCCCTCACTCACGGTTTATATGCATCCATTTTGCTTTATTGTATTTTTGAGAGTTCCATCGACTTGGCCTTACCAGTGGAACGTGTTTTCCCCTGAGCACCGGAGTAATGATTCTTGCAAGGTAGCAGCTGTGGCCGAGCCTGTGCATTTCTGTGGAAGCTACAGTTGTGTGGAAGGTCAGCCATCAAATGGGGCTCATTTTTCACTGGAGACAAAGGCGGCACCAAGGTCTTTTCAATTTGTATGGAAGTGGGCTAGTTTTGTACAAGTGAAAACATGAGCACTAGAGCAGTTTTATTAAAAAAAAATACGGTAGGAGATTTATATCTTTAAAGACTCACGAGACATTGATCAAGCGGTAATGATTTAATGAGACTTTGTAAAACACATGATAAAGCAAAAGTTATGGCTGCTTGTAGGAGAAAACAAAAGATCCGTATTAAAGAGACCTAATTATTCCAAACTTTACTATTCACTCCATGAGAGTTATTAGAGTTAGCAAGCATTACACCTGTGAGGTCAAATACTTTGGTGACAAAGTGTGAAAAAATAAAAAATACCTTTTTTGCTGATTCAAGAAAATGTAAGGACACTTGGCATTACTGCCATTAATGCTTTCAGGTTCTTACTTCACTGATTATGGACACTCTGCCTTGAAGTAGGTGGTTTTGTCTGCTTGCTTGTTCTCATGAGTTTCGCTGGTTCCCTCCTCCTTTTTATCTGACCTCCCACTGGCCTACCTTACAATGTACTGCATTTCCCCCAGAGAACCAGTGTCACCAACTGCCACAGTTCAGTTCACAGTCTTTCCACAGGCTCTATAATCATGGCACATGCTCATAAATTCATGTAAAACATTGGATCATGTAACCAATTCTTTACAAAAACTGGACGTTTCCCTCCACACCTGACTTCTCTCAGGTAAGGGCACAGCCTTGAGTCCCTTTGCCAGCTGGTAATGCTCCTGTTTAAGACCTGTGTGCTGTTCTTTCGTGTTGAGGTATTGTCCACTGACCGCTGCCCAGAGGATCGCCAGGTCAGCCCGTTGTTTTTATTTCTGTACAGCAGAGCAGTTGCTTTGCGGGGTAAGGGAGGTATCACACTTACCCATCCTTCGAGCATCTCAGAGTGAGACAGGCAGACGCAGGATGTCTACTGAGATTTTGAAGTCTGGTTTAAAGTGCGTCTTTCAGTTTGGTGACTCGGTTAGGTTTAAGAACCCTGAAATAAAAATTCTCTACTTTCAATCCTTGTAACATAGCTTACTTGTGTCAGTTTTATTGGGATAAACTTGACATGCAATAAACTGCACAGATTTAAAAGGGATAATCTTCTAATTTTTACCTTCGTATGTACCCATGAAACCAACACCATAGTCATTCCCAAATGTTTCCTCATGGTCCTTGGGAATCCTGGCCCCCTGTTCCTCCCCTTCGCTCCACCCAAGGCAACCACTAATAGAATTTCTGTATGAAAGATTCTAGAATTTTGCATAAATAGACCCATAAATATGCATTTATTTTACCCATTATCTTAACAAAAAGCATAAATTAGTTTGAGATTCATTTACATTTCATGTATCAATAATTCAGACCCTTTATTGTTGAAAAGGTTTCCATTGTGTGGGTGCACCACCACTATTGGTCCATTCATATCATGAGAGACATTTGTTTCCAGTTCTGGCTTTTATTAATGATACTGATATTGAATATTTCCATACAAGTCTTTATAAGGATATACGCTTTCTATGAGTTGGATAATGCAGTTGATATTTACCTTCTGAAGAAACTGCCCAAATGTTTTCCAAAGTTGTATCATTTTACATTTGACTAATTATTTCCTTTATCAATTTCTTTTGACTAGACTTAACTTTTGCATGCTTATGTAGTGAATCTATTTGTGTCTTTAAGTTTAGAGTGTGTATCTTGTGGACAACTTTAAGTGGGCCTTGCTTTTGCATTATATTTGGCAATCTCTGCCCTTTAATTGAAGTGATTAACCCATTCACATTTAATGTAATTATTTCATGATTAGGGTTTCATTTCTCATTTTTCCATTTTTTTTCCTATTGCAACATCTGTTCTTATTACCCTTTTCCTCCTTTTCTACCTTTTTTTGGATTGAGTCTTTTTTTAATTTATTTTTATTCTAATTTGTTACATATGACAGCAGAATGCATTACAATTCATATTGCACATATAGAGCACACTTTTTCACACCTCTAGTTGTATACAAAGTATATTCACTTTTGGATTGAGTCTTTTTTGAGGACTCTATTTTATCTCTTTTATTGACTCTTTAGCTATTTATTATATTATTTTAATGGTTATTTTAGGGTTTATAGTAAACATCTTTATCTTCATCTATTTTCAAGTAATGTTATACAATTTCGTATATCATATTTAAAACACTTATGAGTAATACACTTCCATTTATCTCCTCCCTGACTTTATGCTATTGTTTTAAGATATTTTTACTTTTTCATGTTGTGAACCCCACAATACATTATGATTTTTGTTTAGTTAAATATCTTGTAAAAAGATGTTCATAAAAATCTCCGTGTATTTATCCATGCTGTTCCATTCCCTGTGCTCTTCATTCTTTTGTACAGATCCAGATGCCATCCACTTTCAACTTCCTCCCACCTTGGAGGGCCCCCTCCATTTTCTCCATTTTCCTATACAACAGGTCTGCTAGTGGTGAATGATTTGTGTTTAAAACTTATTTATTTTAAATTATATGTTTTAAAAGTCTTTAGTTCAGTTGTGGTTTTGAAAGCCATTTTTAATTGGGTGTAGACCTCTAAGTTATTGGTACTTTAAAGGTGCTGGCCACCGTTTCATTGTTTTCATCATTTCCAGTGAGAAGTCGGCTGCCATTCTGTTCTGTTCTATCACATCTATTTTTCTGTCTGGTTCTAAGATTTTCTTTTTGTCATTAAATTTCGGCAATTTGATGATGGTGTGTATGGGCGATATTTTCTTTCTTGGGGGTTGTTATGATTCTTGGTTCTGTGTGTTTACAGTTTTCATCATGATTGACTACTGTTCCTTTAAGTAGTTTTACCTGTGCTCTCCCTCCTCCAATTAAATATCTATCATGTCACTTAAGTTTACAGCCCACAGATCTTCCTTTCATTTTAACATCTCCCCTTGTGTTCCATTTTCTGTAGTTTCTGTTACAGTATTTCCAAGGGTACTAAACTATTCCACGAAAGGTCTCCAATATTGTTGTAATGGAGATATGAATCCTTTCCTAGAAGGACAAGGTAAGGTTGTTTTAGGTTTCTACTTTTCATGCTGTTTGCCAGGTAAAAAGTCAACTAATGGTTAATTAGTTAGTCCATTAATCATTTGGACCCTTAAAGCCAACTGATAAATTATAAGAAAGCAAAACTAAGGAAACCAAGGAGCTTTAAAAGATGTGAAAAATCAACAGTTTAGCTGTACCCTTCAGCCAGCTCACAGGTAGATATTGGGCCCATAGAAAAGAGTGAATAAGGAGAGAAGGAGAATATCAAGAACTGGCCTTACGTGTAATGTAGGTCAAAGTTGCCTTAAACAAGGAAGACAGGCAAGACCATAGCTTGAAAAATGAAGAACAAGAGTGCAGATTAAAGCCTAGGGGCTTGTACTCTTCTTCCATGGGTCTTTGGTGGAAAACATCAACTCCTTCTCCTGACCTTAGTTACCCCCAGTCACTGGGGCAAGCTCTTTCCTTATGAAGCTCATCTGCTTCTGAGGGGTTTCTAAGAAACTTTGGCTTGAGAGCTTAAAAAAAAAAAAAAGTCTTACAAGAGTTGAGGATAGTTTTTGCCTCTTTAATTGAGAAACCTGAATCCAGAAATCAATTTCTTGGAATTGCACTCCTGTGTCAGTTGTTAATAGTACTTGATAGTATCCTTCCCACCGGGAGTTAGGGGCCGTCCTTCTCTGATGCCTCCTCCAGAGGACTGAGTGCCTGGGTTCTGAGTCACAAACGTTGTTTAAAAGTGTGTTGAGGAAAGGCTGCTTGCACTTGTTGACATGACGGCAAAACAAACTGCAAACACCGTCATTCTCCACCATATCTCCCTGCAACGGTGTGCAGTCCAGAATCCCTGGGAGCTTGCTAACTTGAATTCTGGGTATTTCGTTTCTTTTTCGTTTCCTGAAAAATGGAAATGATGTGAACAGTGAAGTTCCTGACTAGGTGGCAGGACTTTGTGTGAGACTTCAGTAATGGTACCAGCAAAAGGCACTATTACTTAAAAGATAGGTCATAATCCTCCAATTTGGGGACACAAAATCAAGTAAATTCTTCTATTCTGAGACAGCATTTCTTCAAGGAAAGGCTTCACTACATCCTAAAAATAAGCCAGCACTGTTCAAGACATATTCAAAACCCACTGCAGAGGGCAGCTACCTAAAATCCATGCACAGTTGGGCATGCCTGTGTTCACTGTTTTAACCACATTCTGCTGATTACAAAAGCCACATGTACCAGAGACTACACACACACACACACACACATACATTCACACAACCTTAACAATTTCAGTAAATTTCACCAGGTGGTAACTGAGTCATTGAACACTTTCTCTTTGGGTGGTGGGTAATTTTGTGTGATAGTTGTGGACCTTCTGATGAGGGTGTTGTCACTTTGGAGCTGATGTCTAGCGTTTTGCAATAGCCTCTTTGAGCCTTTCTGAAGACCCCGTATCTTAGTGGACTTTCAAGGTTTAGGATCTTGATGGGAACTGCCTGACTGACATAACAGCCTGCACCTTTCCTTGAGTTTCCGTGTTATTCCTGCTGTCTGGGTGTCTACTTCTACAAGATGCTCAGAGCAGTTGAGCATTCTTTAAATGGCTGATCATCCATCACTGAGGCTCCTACTAAGGCCAAGAGCTGATTTTGTTCCCAGGCATTCCAAGACCATGGACTTGCCTTGCCCCAAAACATAGCTAGGACCAGCATGCACTCTAGTCTCTTCTGCTGATTGGGGCAGGTTTTGCTGTGGTAAGCAGCCTTGTTTTGGAAGTGAGGTGAAATTTGTTTCACCTTTAGTCATCTGCTAGATTCTCACTATCCCAGAAAAAGGTCAAAATTCTAATTTCCAAATATGTTTTCTACTGAATGCTGTTGCTTTCATGCATTGTAAGTGGGGGAAAAAAAGTTGTAAGTTGAACCCGGCTAAGCGGGGGGCTGCCTGTACTGGTGTCTCTTGGTTCACTCATCTGGTTTTGTTCCTGTGTTGCTCTGTTGGTGTTGTAGGAGGATAGGAGGGTCACAAGAACTGGCACAGGACATGTCTTTCCTGTTAGACTTTTCTCTCTTTCTCTGGTCTTCATTTCACCACTGGTTTAAAAGGATATTATAGTTTGGGTAGAAAAATCACTTCATTTTTTTTCTTTTTTATTTAGTGTCTCAACTCTTCCAGAGAAATTCTTCTTCCAACACCCTTTCTATTTACAGTATTTGGGAGTATGATAAACAGGAGTCTTACTAACACCGGCTTTCTATAGAGTTGAGACATAAGGTAAAACTCATCATTTTAAAGAGTATAGTTTGGTGGTTTGGTTCACTCACTATGCTGTGGGATTACCGCTATCTAAATCCACATCTCCAAGGACAAGCTCCATACCTGTGTGCAGTCAGTTCAAATGCCCCTTTCCTACCATTCACAGATAACTACTAATCTGCTTGAGGTCCTTATGGATTTACCTGGTCTGTGCATATCATAGAAATGGAATAACATGAGATGCAGTCATTGTTATTAGCTTTGCTCATGCAGCTTAGTGTCTTCAGGGTTCATCTATATGTAGCATGTATCAGTACTCCACTCCTTTTTAGGGCTGAATAATATCCCATCATATAAATATACCACATTGTTTTCATCCATCCATCAGATGATGGTCATTTGGGTTGTTTGCACTTTTTTACTATTATGAATAATGCTGCATTAAAGAGGAGTGTGCAAAGTTTGTGTGAACATGATTTCAAATCTCTTAAAGATTTGGGAAAGAAATTGAGAAGTCATAAGGTAATTCTATATTTATCTTTTTGAGGGACGACCAAACTTCTCCACAGTGACTGAGATACTTTGCATTCCTGCAGGGATGTGTTGAGAGTTCCAGTTTCTCCACATCCTCACCACCACTTGTCACTATCTGATGTTGTAACTGTTGTCAGTGTTACTGTGACCATCCTATTGGCTGTGGAGTGGCACCTCTCTGTGGTGTTGGTATCTTTTCTCTAATGACTTGTGAGACAGCATCTATCCTTGAGCTTCCTGGCCATTTTCTCATGTTATCCTATGAGAAACAGCCTTTCCAGCCTACTATTTAATTGTGTTCTTCTTTTATAGATGTGTTTTAGGGATTCTTCATAGATTCTGGATGCTAGATCCTTATCAGGTGTAAGATGTGAATCTTTTCTCAGTCTGTGAGTTGTGTTTTCACTATCTTTCAAATCAAATTCACAAAAATAAACTATCCAGAGTCTATAATTTATTTCCCCCTGTTGCAAGTTAGTTTCAGTCTTCAAAAATTCTAGAAGCTGTATTTCTTATGAAATAGTATTCTAATATTCATTAACCAAAGCCATAGTAATGTTTCCATGTGAAATGCCTATTGCCATCTAAGCACTGCAATTAAAACAAAGGTGAAAAGAGGGGACAATTTATAATAAATATCCATTTGCACACAGAAAAAATAGAAGGCACATTATTAGCCAATAGAGCTATAACAAATACAACAGACCTTGCAGTTCAGATCATTAAATAGCCATATGAGAGTCTAAGGGAGTCTGGTAACTTTCCCTGATGCTAAATGAAAATTTCAGAAGCAATTATTTTTGTGTCTAATGAGCAACGACCTAAAGCCAGCCAAGCCCTGCATCAGGAACTAAACTTTGTTCCATGGTTGGTCTGAACTAAGGTCATCAATGGTTACAACAACTGGACTTAACTCAGAGATGAGAAATGCAGGATGCTTGGGCATTGGAGGAAAGCTGGACACTTGCCTCTAGCTAGAATAAATCACCTCACTTCACAGAGCAGCTCTGTTCCCCAATGTCAGACATAAATTAAATTGTTCTCAATCAAACCTTCTTATGTATATCAGAAATTTAGCTATTTAAAGATATATTACAGTAAACCCTTTCAAAAACAAAAAAAAACTCTTTGTGAACAATAATTTCTCTCTAACTAATCTGTATTGTGTATTTGGATTTTCAAATACCCTATTTTCTTAAAATAGGCCAACATTGCAATGAAATGACAGTCACACAATCCAGGGTATTCTGCAAAGATGGAAAACAAGGGAGCAGCACGCACCGGGGTGAAGCTTTGGTTTCTGCATTTTGAGGAGTGTTTGGGGTCTAGAAAGCATCCAGAGACAAGCAGCTACCATGATTAAGTTAATGAAAACTCAGACCCTTGAGAATGTTAAAGGATTCAAGTGTATTTAAGTTGAAGCAGAGAAAGCTAAGGTCTAACTTGTTCACTGTCTTCAAAAATGTGCTGTATGAGGAAAAGGTTTGCACTAAAGTAGGAAGTAAACAAAGAGAACATCAATGATTATCCAGCTATGTAAGAACAAGCAAAAATATGAACAAAGAATGCAAAGAGGGCACAGACAACAGCAAGGGGCACATCAGAGAGATTTTGGATAAAAAATGTTTCTGCTTAAAACTTCCTTTCCTGTTACTACAGAATTACAATGCAAAATATAAAAGTACAATATAATTATAAACTGTATAATAGAAAAATATGATGTCATATGTCATATATAAAATTTAGACAGAGAAAAAGCACTCAGCTTAAGTAAGTACTCATACGCAGCCATGAAAAAGACAGTTAAACAGAAGGCACATTATTAGCCAATATAGCTATTATGCACTTTCATTTATCAATTGACACAATCAAGATTAGCTGACCACCTACTACGTGCCAGACAGTGCTAGTGACTTGGGAATGCAATCAGAGCAAAACCCTAACCCTGAGCACGGCTGTGGTCTCCCTGCACTCACGGTATTTAAAGAAACGTTGAGGATAAAGCATGGTTGAGTGCAGAGATGGCAGCACAAGAGCACAGAGAAGGAGAGATTAGGAGACTGAGTCCATATTTGTAGGATTAAGCAAGGCTTTTGGGTGGGGTCGACTGAGGCTGGGTAAGAGGACATGCTCTGCTCGGAGCCCAGAACAGGTGGAAGGACAGCTGAGTGTTCAAGGGGCTGGTGCTGAAATGGAGGAGACAAGAGATAAGCCTGGACAGTGCCCGACTGGGCAGGACACTACTAGCCACACTAATGAGCAGGACTCTCACCCTTAACTAGCTCGTGGGAGAGTGAAGTGGCAAGACTTGCCGTTCAGATGGACGGTGTCAGTGGAGCACAGACTGGAGGGGCAAGCGGGGGATCCCAGCACATGCTGCAGAGACGACTCCTCAATGGAGCTGGAATGAAAGGAGCAAAGGGAAGAGCCACTGCGAGGTAGAAAGCCGGCTGCGGTGGCTGGTGGCCGAGGGGCAGCAGCAGGGATGGGGAAGGCCATGAGGTTTATAAAACAGGCCAGCAGAACTGGGGAGGATGGTCTGGCGGTGCTGAAGGTCAGGAAGAGCCCGGACAGCCCGTTTCTCGATGGCAGGAGAGGGCACCTTAGGATCCTGGGTCAGGTGGTGTGGGTTCAAGGGGGCTGCAGCTTGACTGGGCCATGTGGCAGTGGGTGGTGAGAAACTGCTACTCAGGCTCATCAGTGGCAAACTCCAGACCTGCTCAGGACTACTGCAGGGAGGCCAACCTGGCCAGGCCACCAGCCCAATGAAGGAAAAGCAAGGGGCTCACCAGGCCCATGTCCTCAAAGGGTGGACGTGTAGGGACAGTGGTCTTGCCTCTACCAAAGCTCGCACGTCCTGGCAGCGACCATTAAAATGTTCCCATCACATCTTGAGAGCCACTGTCCATCTAGTCACATGTGTAGTCAGTGCCCTCTCTGTGCAAAGGAACCAAGATACAGAGGTAAAGGGGACATAGTCTCTGTCATGCAGGAGTCCCCACCTGGGAAGGGGCACCGGCAAGGGGCAGCGTTTAGAGTGTGAAGGTCAGCAGAGCACAGGGACCCTGGGGGTACAAAGCCTGGGATCAGATGCAGTAAAGCTCCCAGGATTG